GCAGGTTGACAGAATTATTCCATTTTTATTGTTTAGTGATTGTATAGCAGTTATGGGGTTGTAGTTGATGATAACACTCACTGGATAGGACCCTAAGTGCTCTTTTGCTATATTTGTGAATTGTTCTTATACTCACAAGCCTTTTCCAGTTTGCGAGTTGGAATCCTGTTTGTGGACCAAGTTCTATATTGATATTGCATTATAGTACAAGTAAAATTATTCTTTATGTGACTACTGTGATTGACTGTCACAGTAGTCACATGATCAGGAGATGGCCCAGTCAGCTCCTGATCATTGCTAGAGACCAGTAGCTGTCTTTGACACCTTGGCCCTGTGCTGGAAGTGTGTAGTGATTGTTTTACAAAAGTAAGAGAAGTTTGTGAATGGTTTGCTACTTATAACATGACCACCTTGGCCATCCAATCCTGAGCTGATCCTGTCCTAATGTAAACCTGACCTGAACCGCTGAACAATTACTGTGTCAATTAGCTGTGAAACCTGAGCTTCAATTCGCACTGCACATGTGTGAATCAGCTCTCAAGTAAGTGGAGGTCACATGTTTCCTGTCTAGAGTGGAGCTCCAGTATGCAGCCAGATACTGTTGCATGCAAGCAGTGATCAGACAGTGAAGGGGTTAATTTTGCAAAAAAATGTAAGGGGGCACTAAAGGGGCTTTTAATACTTTAATTCAAACAGGAACACTTAGAATTAAAGCAGAGTTCCACTCAAAAGCAGAAGCTCCGCTTATTTGTCTCCTCTCCCCCTCCGCTGCCCTATTTGGCACCTTTTGGGGGAGGTACCTCCCCGGTTTTTGACAGGTACCTGCTCCCACTTCCGGCTCAGTTCGCGCGGCAAAGTGAGTCTCCTGGGAACTTTCACAGGTCCTAGAAGATTGCCGGACCAATTAGGAGGCAGAGCGCTACTTACGCATGCGCAGTGGGCACCAGGCTGTGAAGCCGCAAGCTGTCACAGTCTGGTGCCCACAGTTGAGACGCCGGCACTGTGGAGGAGAGAAGGGACGGCGCGGGTGAGAACATCGATGGACTCTGGGACAGGTAAGTGTGAGTTTATTAAGTCAGCAGCTACAGTTTTTGTAGCTGCTGACTTTTAATAAACACAAAAACGGCTGGAACTCCACTTTAAAAATTTTTTTCCTGTTTGAAGCCCACAGCTCAGTATGAGCTGCTGTGACAAGGACATCAGAGCTTCTCAAGGCACAAAGATTGCTGTGCTTGGCTCCCACAGCAGTCATTTTGCTGTGAGATCTGAATTTGGGGCTGTCTGCCTCAGACCCTGAGGCATCCAAGCACCCCCATTAATCCCTGACAGCTGTGGTACCGGTGTAGCATAAAGATATGTGTGCCATGAATGTGTCCTCTGCAGCAACTGCATATGCACTGGATTCAGGCCAAATAAGTCGTGCGCTGAGTTGCAGATCTCTGTGCTACACTGTGACAGCCGAGCAGGCAGACTCAACTCCTTACATGCCGCCGACCTGCAGCCGAAGAGGTACCTGGTATCTATGGTCTGTACAGATCTTCAAGCTTCATCGCAACAGCTGAGTGGGGACACAGGCATGAAGCCAAGCCCTTCATTTGAAAAAACAAAACAAACCCATCAGGATATGGGAGCCCGAAGCATGAAGATCGGGGGGGGGGGCGGCAGGGGGGCAGTATTTATGGGTTGGGAGTGAGTCTGTCATTGGGGGGGGGGGTTGGGATGTCTATCAGTGGCATCCCCTTCCTCCTGACTCCCAACCCCTCAATTACTACCCTGTCCCTCCATTGACAGACCCCCCCCCCCCCCCCCCCATCATGCTAAAGCCGCTGTGAAATAGTGTATCCTTGTGTTTCCCCCTGTGTATGTATGATGAACTACCTGCGTTGAAGTCTGGCATGTAAGGAGTTAAGTGTTTTAAATTGGCTTCAACTAGACTATTTTCCGCTGCACAATTCTGGCGCATGTGCGGTTGCTGCAGGGGTACGTATTTTTCACAGGATACATATTTTCACGGCATGCACATCTTCATGCTACACTGGTGATTGGGGGGTTAAGGGGGTGCCTGGCTGCCTAATGCAGGCCATAGACGGTTCGAAAATCTGCCGGCATTTTTACTTCTGTCCCTCAAGGTTCCTTAACAAGCAGAGAGCTCTGCTATTATATTTTACATGAAAAAGTCTTGCAGTTGCAACAATGTATCCATTTGTATCCATTTCGGATACAGATGTTTTAATTCAATACAAATAGATACATTGTTGCAAACCGCAAGACTTTTCATATAAAATATAATAGCGGACTAGAATTCTTCCCTTCTTCTTCTTCCCTTCTTCTTCTTCCCTTCTTCTTCTTCCCTTCTTCTTCTTCCCTTCTTCTTCCTTCCCTTCTTCCCTTCTTTCTTCTTCCCTTCTTCTTCTTCTTCCCTTCTTCTTCTTCTTCTTCTTCTTCTTTTCTTCTTCTTCTCCTCTCCTTTTCTTCTTCTTCTTCTTCTTCTTCCCTTCTTCTTCTTCTTCCCTTCTTCTTCTTCTTCCCTTCTTCTTCTTCTTCCCTTCTTCTTCTTCTTCCCTTCTTCTTCTTCTTCCCTTCTTCTTCTTCTTCCCTTCTTCTTCTTCTTCCCTTCTTCTTCTTCTTCTTCCCTTCTTCTTCTTCTTCTTCCTCCCTCCCTCCCTCCCTCCTCCTCTCCCCCCCCCCCCCCCGGGAAAATCGGCCGATCGTCAAAATCGGCCGCGAATTTTCCAACTTTGCCGACAAAAAAAAAGTGGCAAAACGGCCGACCAATTAACCCACTAACTGTGCAAAAATCGTTTTTTTTTTCCCGGCTGAAAAATCGGCCAATTTTCGACCCGCCTGAGGCACACAGACAGAGATTGGAGCGACAGAGATTGGCACACAGACAGAGATTGGAGCTTCTAAAGGCACGATTGCAGCACTCAGCTCCTGCACCGATCATTGTGCTGTGAGATTCCAATTTGGGGAAATTGGAATCTCACAGCACAATGATCGGTGCAGGAGCTGAGTGCTGCAATCGTGCCTTTAGAAGCTCCAATCTCTGTCGCAGCAGCTCCTCTCTAAACGACAAACGTGACCTTCACTTAGTTGAATTGTGTCTATTGGTTGTTTGTTACATTAAAGTTGATTTACCTGCAAAATAATGTGCATTTATTATTATTTGTTAAAAGGTGAACTTCTCCTTTAAGAAAAAAACTTTGCGTGGAGGTCACATGTTTCCAGTTGAGCGTGGAGCTCCAGTCCACAGCCATACCCCTCTACAGTTTTTAGCCTGTTCTCCAATGGCCAAGTTTTGTGCGTGCTGATACCCCCCCCCCCCCCCCCAGTCTGCAGCCATACCCCTCTACAGTTTTTAGCCTGTGCTCCAGTGGCCAAGATTTGTGTTGATACCCCCCCCCCCTTCTCTGCACAGCTCATCATTTGAAAGATCAGAATATTTTTTTTTCTGCCTCCTGCTGATACCCCCCCCCCCCCCCCTTCCTCCATCTCCATCCCCACCTCTCTAAGACCCTTATGCAAATGAGGATATGTGGTCACTTGTAATCATTTAAAAAAAAGGATTTCTGGAGTGTGTGTACAGCCCTGGCTAAAAGGTTTGAGAATGACACACATTTTAATTAATCTGCAAGGAAACACGTGCGATCATCATTACTTTGCACAAAGAGGGATTCACAGGCAAGGATATTGCTGTTACTAAGATTGCACCTAAATCAACCATTTATCGAATATTAAGGAACTTCAAGGAGAGAAGTTCAATTTATGTGAAGAAGGCTTCAGGACACCCAAGAAACTCCAGCAAGCTCCAGGACCGTGCCATAAAGCTGATTCCGCTGCAGGATTGAGGCACCACCAGTGCAGAGCTTGCTCAGGAATGGCGGCAGGCAGGTGTGGGTGCATTTGCATGCACAATGAGGCGCAGACTTTTGTAGGATGGCCTGGTGTCAAGAAGGGCAGCAGAGAAGCCACTTCTCTCCAGGAAAAACATCAGGGACAGACTGATATTCTGCAAAAGGTACAGAGATTGCACTGCTGAGGACTGGGGTAAAGCCATTTTTTCTGATGAATTCCCTTTTAGATTGATTGGGGCATCCGGAAATAAACCTTGTCCAGAGCAGAAAAGGTGAGCGCTACCATCAGTCCTGTGTCATGCCAACAGTGAGCAGTGAAGCATTCTGAGGGAGGCCATTCATGTGTGGGGTTTCTAGAACACAGCAATGAATAAAGAATGGTACAAAAACATCCTCCGAGAGCAACTTTTCCCAAGCATCCAAGAACAGTTTGGTGACGAACAATGCCTTTTCCAGCATGATGGAGCACCTTGCCATAAGGCAAAAGTGATAACTACATGGCTTGGGGAACAAAACATCAAATTTTGGGTCCATGGCCAGGAAACTCCCCAGACCTTAATCCCATTGAAAACTTGTGGTCAATCCTCAAGAGGTGGGTGGACAAAAAAAACCACAAATTCTGAAAAACTCCAAGCATTGATTATTCAAAAATGTGCTGCCACACTATTGGTCAGGATGTGGCATAGAAGTTGATTGACATCATGCCAGGCGAATTGCAGAAGTCTTGAAAAATATTGACTCTTTGCATAAACTTAATGCAATTGTCAATAAAAACCTTTGACACTTGTAATTATATGAATTCTGAAATGCTTGTAATTATACTTCAGTATACCATAGTAACTGCTGACAAATGATCCAAAAACATTGAAGCAGCAGACTTTGTGAAAATTAATATTTATCTCATTCTCAAAACTTTTGGCCAGGGCTGTATGTATGTGTAGTCAAAACATAAAAATTGCATTAGCGCTCAAACCAGGATGCTGGACATAATTTCATGGAATAAATTATTTGTCTCGGTGCATCCCTCCTCAGATCTTGGAATCCTCAAACCACTAGAAAACACAACGCACTTCCACTTCTTGTGTATTTTCTGTATGTGTGTGACAACCCTCCAAATTATTGGATAAAAGCAAACACTTAGGCACTCAGACTGCTTCTACAAATGTTTGTGAAAGAATGGGTTGTTCTCAGGAGCTCAGTGAATTCAAGCGTGGTACTGTGATAGGTTGCCACCTGTATAATAAGTCCATCCGTGAAATTTCCTTGCTACTAAATATTTCACAGTCAACTGTTAGTGGTAATATAACAAAGTGGAAGCAACTGAGAGCAACAGCAACTCAGCCACGAAGTGGTAGGCCACATAAAATGACAGAGTGGGGTCAGCACATGCTGAAGCGCACAGTGCGGAGAAGTCGCCAACTGTTTGCAGAGTCAATAGCTTAAGAGCTCCAAACTTTGTGTGGCCTTCAGATTAGCATAACAGTGTGTAGAAAGCTTCATGGCATGGGTTTCCATGGCCGAGCAGCTGCATCCAAGTGTAATGCAAAGCGTCGGATGCAGTGGTGTAAAGCACGCCTTAAACTGGGTTGTTTTAAAGGGTTCACTTGTACTTTAAAACCCAACACCAGGAATTTAAAAATAATCCACTCTTACATAGTCTGGCGAAAAAGACAAAAGTCAATCTAGTTCAATCCATAAAAAAGCTATAATCCTATACCCACAGTTGATCCAGAGAAGCCAAAAAACCCCCAGTAAAGCATGATTCAATTTGCTCCCGCAGGAGAAAAAATTCCTTCCTGATCCCCCGAGAGAGCAATCTGATTTTCCCTGAATCAGCTTTACCTATAGATGTTCGTATCCAGTTATATTCTGTGTATCTAGGAAAGAATCCAGGCCTTTTTTTAAAGCAATCCACTGAGCTGGCCAGAACCAGCTCTGGAGGGAGTCTATTTCACGTTTTCACAGCTCTTACTGTGAAGAAACCTTTCTGTATTTGGAAATTAAATCTCTTTTCCTCCAGATGTAGAGTTCCCCCTTGTCCTCTGTGATGACCTCAGGGTTCATATAGTTTACTATATGAACCACTGATATATTTATACATGTTGATCATATCCCCCCTTAATCTCCTCTTCTCAAGAGAGAATAAATTCAGTTCCTCTAATCTTTCCTCATAGCTGAGCTCCTCCATGCCTCTTTCAGTTTGGTTGCCCTTCTCTGCACTTTCTCCCGTTCCCCAATATATTTTTTTTTTGTGATTTGGTGCCCAAAACTGAACTGCATATTCCAAATGAATGTACTTTTGCAGTGGGGCCCCCCCTGTATTGCAAGGGTTAAGAGCTCATTATGTCTAGGGGGTACAATACAGACTGTGTTATTTACTTGACTCCATGCTTTAATCTGTGGGTGGAGCTTCAGTGTTATCACATACAGTACCTGGATATTACACTGTATTGCAATCCATCCTCATAGGAGATGGAGTTGAGCATGCTTACAGAGCAATGCTTTGTGGACCTGATCCCAAAGCTGGAGGGGCCCTGCTGTAGCCAGGAATAAATTAAGGTAAGTATTTACACCTTATTCATGTAACCCTTGCTTTGCGGCGATGGCCCCACTGCAATGATGTTTATGGGTTGTTTTTTTGGGTTTTTTTTTTTGTTTTTGATTTTTTAATTCCTGGAGATGGGCTTTAAAGTAAAAATGAAACAGAAAATGTTTAAAGAAACCCTGCCTTCTCACACATGCACACCTAGGACACATGATGCATATGTAAACACATCTTGGGTATCTATGTACAATTTGCTGTTATATCTACCTACACTAACTGATGAGCTGTAAAGACCTCCCCTAAATACAGTTTTCAGGAATGTAGCTTTCCACCATTTTGCAGGAGCACTCAGTTTTGTGGCTTGATGTGTCTGGTGACTAAATGTAAAAGATATTGCTGCTCAAATGCCTCCTGTTCATCTTTCTGCCTGTTCTCCTCAAACAGTGGGTGCCATTCCCTCCAAGAGTGTCTTTTTCCATGAAACAGTCATAATAGCACAGTTAGGGGGCACATACCACATAGATCAACCCCATCCGCTGATGAGCGAACAGAGGCTTCAACTACAGTCCCTGCATCTTGGCCACGCCCACTGACACATTTGTCCCTAATTGGGCTTGGGGTAGAGAGTTGTAGTCCTTTACAAATATATCCAATTGGGGTAAAAGAGCTGCGTGGCCAAGAAGGTGGATCCATAGCTGAAGCCTCTGTTAGCTCATCAGTGGATGTGGTGGATCTGTGTGGTGTGCGTCCCCTAATTTTGCTGTTTATGTGTCTGGTATTTATTTACTCTATATCATCTTATCTTTTATAGTTATTCTATTCTTGGATCATTTCTGTTGTTTACAACTAACCCATATATTTTTTTACAGCTATAGTATTTTGGACAATTGCTGATTCCGTTATGGCTTCTGACTGGCTGGGAAGTGTTGTATCCATTAATTGTGGAAACACTTTGGGTGTGTACCAAGGACGGGTGTCTGCTGTTGACCAGCTTAATCAGACAATATCGCTTACACAGCCCTTTCACAATGGGGTGAAGTGCCTTGTTCCAGAAGTCACATTCAGGTGAGCTGAGGTTTTTTTTGCTCAGCAGATTAAAGTGGTATTAAACCCAAATGCAAACATTTTTATATATCAGCTTACCAGTTCTTAGATGCGATGGTTGCATTAGTTTTACTTTTTTAGGCTTTCTTTTTATTTTTACCTGATGATCTGACCAGTGAGTCTGTTGTTTTTCAACAGAACAAGCTGTTCTGCAAATGTAACAGTTAGTGTTGAGAGCAACCATTTACCACTGACAGGGGTGCTTACAATTAGCAGCTTTTTATTTATTCATGTAAAAACCTTTATCCCAAACAAAAAATAAACTGTTACTGTAACTGCGTGTGTAATTGCAGTGTGAGCTGGAGTTTGACTTCAGTTTGTTAGTGTATCTAAATTTTGCTAGTACATCAAACACTCCCCCTCCCCCAGACTAACAATGCTGCTGTCCAAAGGTGCCCCTGTGCGCCTTCATCCAAAGTGTGGGCACTCTAATACAGGAGGAATGTTACTGGGCAGATCACCAAGTGAAAACAGAGGGGGGAAAAAAAAAAAAAGTATAAAAAAAACAAATGCAGCCACAACATCTAAGGATTGATAAGCTGCATTATATTCTATTTTTGGTTTGGGCTTTAATGAATTGGATCCTAAAAACAATCCCTTGTGTTCACTTTTCAAAAGTTAAAGTGTTACTAAACTCACAACAGTAAAATCAGTCTGTATATGCAGTAAAGCATGCTTAATATACTCACTGTGGAACCTAAGGGGTTAATCCTCTGCACTGTTTAAAAATGCTGTTCAATCCTGTCTTCTCTGATCCTCCCCTTCTGCCACTGTCCTCTTCTTATCTCCTGATAAGATATGTTGTGTGGAGTTATTTTGCACATGCTCAGTTTGGAGTGTATTACTAAAGAGGGTTTTTTTTCTTGGGAGAGAGTGCATGTGATCAACACTGTCCAGATAGTGGGCAGGGGTTCTGCATCCTAGAGCAGAAAGAAAACTCCTTCTACAAGCTTTAACCAGTGCTCTACTGAGCACTGATAGAAGTCAAGACTGCTCTAACTGCTGATGAGAAAAGGTATTTAGCAGTTTATAATTACTAAAATATATGCATTAGCATGCTCTGTTTACTGTGGGAGACCAGATATAGCAAATGCTGTGTCCTGGGTTTAGTAACACTTTTAAGGGTTCATTGTTTTCAGTACAACTTTGACAACTTCATGCTGTCTATTATTATTATTATTATTATGTATAATACTTGAAGCAGCGGTGTAATGTTTTTTGACATGTTGCCTAAAGAAAAAACTCTTTTTATTAAAGAGAGCTGGAAATCATTTATCGGTGCAGTAAAGCAGTTCTTCTCCCCCTCAATGCCTCGTGATTTCTGCTGATGGGTACCTCAAATGTCAAGTGTGAAGTTCTAGAAGAGCCAGTCAGTCAGCAGTTCTCCTTGAACACTGGACTTTGCCTTCAGTCAATAGTTTCCACCCCTTTGTTTCCTTCCCACTCCTTTGTTTCCTTTGTTCTTTTCTTTGTGTTTTTCTTGTTTTGAGTCAGAAACAGAAAAAGTGGTGCACTGGAGGGGGACCATTAAGGTGTATATCTTAAAACTGCACAATTCAAAAAAACAAGAGTAAGGCTACTTGCACACTGATGTTCTGCAAAAACGCATATGCGTTTTTACTTTGTCTGCACTGCATTTTTTAAAGGACAAAAAATACTGCACAAAAAAAAATGCAACAGGTGCATTCTTGAAGCTTTTTTGATGTGTTTTTGCCATGTTTTCTATTGATTTCAATTTTTTTTTTTTTTTGTACTGCACTAAACCTGCACCACAAATGCAGCAAGCAGGACTTTTGAAAAACGCACTGGACCTGCAACTTAGAAGTGTGAAGAGATCCACAGGAATACATGGTCACACGTTTTTCTTTTTTTAGTCAAAACAGAAGAAAAACAGATCATTGTGAAAGCAGCCTAAGTCAGAGTTGATGTTGTAAATAGGAAGAAACAGAGGGGGTTGATTTACTAAGACCGGAGAGTGCAAAATTTGGTGTATGGTAGCCATTCAGTGTCCAACTTCAGCTTGTTCATTTAATCGCTTCCGTGCTGATAAATATAGTGTGTGCTTTACTGCACCGATAAATGATTTCCAGCTCTCTTTAATATATATAATTTTTTTTTTTTTTTTTTTTTTAAATCTCATGCAGCGCTAAAAGTATGATAAAACACATAAAATCATAAATTATATGGTACCAATATAACAAAATTAAAAAATATGAAAGTGACCAAGTTCAATGACCTTATCTGTTATAGTGACATAAATAGATAATAATATAAGATGACAAGCTATAATATCCGCAAAGGTTTAAAAATATGAAAGTGACCAAATTCAATGACCTTATCTATTATAGTGACATAAATAGATGAAAAGATATAATATCTGTAAAAATTTAAGGTGCCAGAAATCAATACACGCACTATGGTGTATGGTGAAGTGCAAATATACGCACTATAAACAAATGGTGAATTATAGATGTGATGAGAACGTCCCCAATTGGCGTTTCCAGGTGCATATGTGATTAGTCTCTGATTAGTGTAGATCCATGATGGTGAAAGAGATAAAAGAAAATAAATGGTCGTAGATTGCACTCACCAGAGAGCGCAAATGAATGCGCATTTGAGTATTAAGGACCAACTCCTGGTCATCAGCATCAGGTTACTTAAAACATCAGGTCATCTGGTGGGCATCGGGGGCAGACAGCACGCCATCAGGTAGTATTCGGCACCAAGGATGGATTAGCCACCAGGGGAATCACACTAGTAACTTCAGTCAGGTCACAATGGGTAGCCTTGTAGAAAAGACTCACCAGAAGTGAGCCAAAACAAAAAGACTTCCCATAGTGTAGTAACTTTTACAGTTGCAAGAAAAAGTATGTGAACCCCTTGGGATTACGTGGAGTTTTGCATGAATTGGGCATAAAATGTGCTCTGAACGTCATCCAAGTCACAACAATAGAAGAACACAGTCTGCTGAACATAATACTACACAAACATTAGATGTTGCCATCGTTTAATTGCACATAACATGTAAACATTCACAGTGCAGGGAGGAAAAAGTATGTGAACCTTTGGACTTAATAACTGGTTGACCCTCCTTTGGCAGCAATAACCTCAACCAAACGTTTCCTGTAGTTGCAGATCAGACCTGCACAACGATCTGGAGTAATTTTGGACCACTACTCTTCACAAACTGTTTCAGTGTAGCAATATTCTTGGGATGTCTGGTGTGAATCGCTCTCTTAAGGTCATGCCACAGCATTTCAATCGGGTTGGGGTCAGGACTCTGACTGGGCCACTCCAGAAGGCGTATTCTGTGCTGTTGCAGCCATTGTTTTGTTGAATTACTTGTATGCTTTGGGTCATTGTCCTGTTGCATCACCCATCCTCTGCGGAGCTTCAGTTGGCGGACAGATGGTCATACGTTTTCCTGCAAAATGTCTTGATAAACTCTGGAATTCATTTTCCCATCAATGACAACAATCCGTCCAGGCCCTGAGGCAGCAAAGCAGCCCCAAACCATGATGCTCCCTCCGCCATGTTTTACAGTGGGGATGAGGTTTTGATGTTAGTGTGCTGTGCCTTTTTTTCTCCACACATAGTGTTGTGTGTTCTTCCCAAACAACTCAATCTTGGTTTCATCTGTCCACAGTATATTTTGCCAGTAGTGCTGTGGAACATCCAGGTGCTCTTTTGCAAACTTCAAACGTGCTGCAATATTCTTTTTGGACAGCAATGGCTTCCTCCGTGGTGTCCTCCCATGTACTCCGTTCTTGTTTAATGTTTTCCTTATTGTAGATGTGTCAACAAAAATGTTAGCATGTGCCAGAGATTTCTGTAGGTCTTTAGCTGACACTCTGGGATTCTTCTTTACCTCATGCAGCATTCTGCGCTGTGCTCTTGCAGTCATTTTTACAGGAAGACCACGCCTAGGGAGAGTAGCAACAGTGCTAAACTTTCTCTATTTGTAGACAGTCTGTCTTACCATGAACACACAGACATCAAGGCTTTTGGAGATGGTTTTGAAACCCTTTCCAGCTTCATGCAAGTCAACAATTCTTGATCGTAGGTCTTCTGAGAGCTCTTTTCTGCGAGGCATGGTTCACATCAGACAGTGCTTCTTGAAACCAGTAAACCCAAAACAGGTGTGTGTTTAAGGGCAGGACAGCTGTCAGCAACACATCCAATATCATCACACTGATTGGAGTCAAGGTTGGCTCACTCCTGGCTCCAATTAGCTCTGGGAGAAGTCGTTAAGCTAGGGCCTCACATACTTTTTCCTCCCTGCACTGTGAATGTTTACATGTTATGTGCAATTAAACCATGGCAACATCTAATGTTTGTGTAGTATTATGTTCAGCAGACTGTGTTCTTCTATTGTGACTTGGATGACGTTCAGAGCACATTTTATGCCCAATTCATGCAAAACTCCACGTAATCCCAAGGGGTTCACATACTTTTTTCTTGCAACTGTAATTTATTCAAGGTTAAAATGAAAAGATGAAATAAAAGCACAATGGATAAATGGTGTCCAAATAGTAACAATCTGGTAGTCTGATGTCCATAAGAAAGTGTACTAAGCATACTGTGTCAATGAGGCAGGCTTACTGACATGTTTTGTGCACAAGCGCTTTTTCAAAGTGTGTGTGCGTGTGTGTGTGTGTGTGTGTGATTTAGCAGTTCTGGGTAAGGGATGCACCACCATTTGGGGCCTCGGCACTTACTCGTAGATCTCCAGGTGCCGGTGGGGAATCACCGGCTGGGACCCAGTGGTTCCCTGCCGGCACCTGGCGATCTCTGAGTATTACCGATGGGGGAGAGACCTGTATGTAAACAATACAGATCTCTCCCCTGTCAGCTCCTTCACACTGCTTTGTATGGCTCTGCTATGCAGAGCCATACAAAGCAGTGTTCTTACAGTGAAACACACAGCCCACATAGTAAAACAGCACACAGTTAACCCTTTGATCGCCCCGGATGTTAACCCCTTCCTGCCCAGTGCCATTAGTACAGTGTCAGTGCTTTTTATTAGCACTTACCACTGTACTGGTGTCGCTGGGGATGTCAGTGACACCAAGTCAGTTCTCCAGAATGCCTGCCACAGTCCCGCTATAAGTTGCTGATCACCACCATTACAAGTTAAAAAAAAAAAAAAAAAAAAAATTCCATTATATATACTTCCATTTTGTAAACGCTATAACTTTCACGTAAACCAATTGATATACACATATTGGGATTTTTTTTTTAGCAAAGACATGGAGCAGAATATATTTTGGCCTTTTTTTTTAATGACGACTAAATTTATGACGAAGTTTGATATTTTAAAATTATTTTACTGGACATATTTAATAGCAAAAAGTCAAAAATATGTTTGTTTGTTTTTTTTAATTATCGGTCTTTTTTTGTTTTATAGCGCAATTGTCAGTTAAAGTAACGCAGCGCCGTATCACAAAAAAAATGGCCTGGTCAGGATGGGGGGTAAATCCTCTGGAGGGCAAGTGGTTAATCTTTGACAAAAAAAAAAAAACCTGGAAGCTGTCCCTATCAAGAAATATTTTTCTTTTTGTTTATGGGGAAAAAAGATTACATTGAAGATGTGAAACAAGTTTTCCCCAATATGTTATTTGGATTGCACATGAAAATGACAAATGCTGTAAACTGATGTTTTGTTTTGCCTTGTTTATTGCAGGCTTACCCCAAACCCTCATGCACACTGGATGTTTTTACAGCTGCTGTTTTTGGACTTTTTTTTTTCTACAGCCAGTAAACCCCCCGCATATTATCTTATGTGTCCATGCACACACAGACTGTATTCCAATGTTTTTTTGGCTGGAAAAAAAAACCCAGAACTAGTGGTTTTCTAGAGGAGTTTTTTAGCTGTAAAAACAATCTAATGCTGAAAAACGCGGTAAAATGCAGCTAACCAGCGGTTTTGGATGGTGTGGTTTTTTTTTTTTTTTTGGTTAAAAAAAAAAACCTGCAAAAAAACGCAAATGCAGCTAATCACTAATGCAAAAATGCTGAAAAACTCCCGTTTTTAACATGACTTTACACAGCTAACGTTACCGGCATTATTAAAATGCCCCGTGTGCATGGAGCCTAAAGAGAAACTACACTTCATCTGATGACCACAAACCAAAAGTGTGATTTCATTTATAATATTCAGAGCAAACTTTCCCATTCATCCATGTCTCCATGCTTTATTTTACTGCGAAGAAAACCACCCCTAGCATTTATGGCCATCTTGAGTAAGGGCAGATGATTCATGTAGCATTTACTTCCTGGAATCCATCTGCCCTTAGCTCAAGCATGCAGGCAGGAGGGTGTGCTTAGCTGAGAAAACCCCCTCCTCCCTTCCTTAAGACTCCTGGGATGTATGACATCATTTTCCTAGACCTGGAAACCAGAAAGTATCTAAGGAAGTGTAAAAAAAAACTGTTTAAAACAAGTAAATATGATATGCTTTCCTATCTGTTTACTAATGCTAGCAGCACAAGGATTTAAAGTAGTGAAGTTCCTCTTTAAGTTAGTTACTTCGCCATCTTGCAGTGTTGGTGCATATTGAAAGGTTAACAGAGTGTAAACTACTGAAACATTGTAATGTTCTCTTTCCTACTGCATAGATAAATTTGTGTTTTATCTGTTTGTGTCAACAAAATTAGGGCCAAATTGTTATTGCTATGATAATGTATATGCCTTGTTATAGCTTCATTAGGTTGACCACATATAAAATAAAAAGTGGAAGTTGGTTCCTTTTTGTTGGTTGTTATTAAAATGTCTGTTTCGTGTAGACATTACCATTTACTGGATTGTTTCTAAAATAGTAACAAGGGGAATGTATTCGCTCTTAGGGCAGGGGACATCGTAGACTTAAAAATTTTGGAGATTCCTGAGGACAGTCGGAGACAGACAAATAATCAGCCTTCTGAGCACACAAATACAAATTGTGTGCCAACCAGCCAGCAAAATGGTACAGCGAAACAAAGACCAGAGGCAAGCAGTGCACAGATCATCCCCAGGAGAACAGAGGGGAGAGCCAATGATCCTACTGGAACATCTCCACAGCCATGCTCAAAAAGTTATGTGGACAGGCAAACTGAAGGTCTGAATCAGCCGAAGAACTTTCGACGAAGGCACAACTCTTGTAAGTATGATAGTCATGGAAGCTTGTTTTGCCATTTTATAAAGCAAGTATGTTTGCACTTTAATCACGTTCTTTGTATATTAAATTATTGAAAGGGCCAATTATACAGTATGTATGTATGGAAATAACGGTTTTCACTGGCTGAAACCAAATCTAGTGCAGTTTCATTTGTCACATGATTTGTGTTTTGATAAATTGCTTGTCTATTAAAATGCCAACAGTGACATTTCAATAACCCTCTGAATATACATTAGTTGAGGATATTGTTTGACTCTCAGGTGAGACTGTTTGCAGCATCAGCCATGTGCTGACAGCTTATATTGTCACTTAACCTGCTGCTGTAAGCATGTTTAGTTTAAAAGTCAGTGCAGTCCATTCAGTTACTTTCTCCAGGAAGATCACTGAATAGTGCCATGGCAGGGAGCAAGAAAAAAGTGGAAACGGGGGTGGGGGAGAAACAGCATGGGAGCTGCTCTGTTAGCCATTGGGGGTTTGAAGTTTATATTCAAATTAGTGTTGAACAAAACAAACTAACATTCCTCCATCCACACAAACAAGGTGGAGTTGATCAAGGATGGCCACACACTGATGGAAGTAGAGCCAGTCCATGCTGAACCAGACAAAATTTTGATCTATGTATGTCCAGCATAACACTTTAACAATTGAACATTTATTTTAATAGATGTTGCTATTCTTCCAAGAACACTGGCCTAGGGTAGTTTTATCTCCTATACCCACACCCCCTTTCAGGCATAAGGTGGAAAAACCATTCATGTGCTCTCCACTGCTTGTGTCTTATCTTTTTTTCAGCACAGTGCAGCTCTGTCAAAGTATGGCTCCTTTCACTCCTCCACTGCCCAAAACAGGAACACTTGTGTGACCAGAGTCCACCTAAAGAAGTAACTGACAGCCAGCCCCAGCTGCAAGGCATACAGTATACTGAACAGGATAGCATGGGGCTGGACTAGAGTTTGGTACACTTAAGAATTGACCCCCAAACACGCATGCAAATTGGGAATTTCTACTTTTTGGCCTACCTTGCTGTGTACCTGTCTTAACTCACTGAATCAAAATATAAGGTGGAGACAGACAAGAATGAACTGCTTTACTCAGTTACTTGCCTGTCTTTGGGCAGCCTTTGTCACTAGTTGAGTTTTTTCTCATACCACTGTCTCCCTAAGTTTTTGATTTGTTTATGCTTTTCATATGCTCAACTTTATTCATTCTTTTATTAAATATCTATATACATATCCAACCCAATAAATGCAGTAAGTTCTGTCAGATGTGGGTTGTTAAAAATGCCCAGTTTGTATTGCGCTTAGCTTTTCAAGTCAGACCAAGAATCCATAGATATTTTTTTTTGCATGGGTGTGTGTGTGTATAGCCAAAACTTTTCTGCTAATCTAGTTTTAGGTTCGTGAAAAGAAAAAATCCCTGCCATTGTATTTTTGCTGCCTCTGTACCGTTTGGGAAATCTCCTTTTTACTTCCTTGTCCCAGGCACACAATAGAATATAAGATATCTCCCAAAGTAAGGGGAATTCAGCTCCGACAGTTGTCCCCACTACAGATATCACCATTGGAACATTTCCCTTTACCTCTTCTGGGGACAACTTTAAAACTTTGGATTCCCGTCCCTTTTTGTCTCACTGACAATGGTTACTAGTGCAAATAGAAGGGTGAATCTCACTGATGGGGATACAGACAGCAGTAAAAACATAAGGCGTCCTCCCCCACTCTATCCAAAACTGGAGCTCTATATTTTAATGATCATCAGACTCTCTAAGACTAACCTTCCAAATGATATCTTTTTTTTTTTTTTTTTCTCTGCATATATCTTGTGTCAGAGTTTTGTCAGTCACTGCTGTTAGAAGAAACAGAAGGTTAATATCCCTGTCGTCAAACCAATACTCATACATATGGCCTGTTGGTGCATCTGTGGGAGCTATTGTAACACAGTTGGGATAGAACTGAAATGTTTAATTTTGGAGGGCTCCTTCAAGCACATCTTGTGCACCGGTTTTCCTTAACCATCATCTACTTCTTTCTTTCATAGCAGGCAGGTTGCTTTGTTTATTTTTTTAACTGAATATACATAGTGTATGCTTTTTATTAAAAAAAATGCTAAATTACCTTGAAAATCTGTTTATGGTGAATACCTTTTCCTTTCTTTAACCTGTAATTTGTTTATATGGCATAGTATGTATTTTAGGTATTTTATGATCAAAGAACATCATAACTAGTCATTCCATTTATCAGGTACTTATGGCATCCACAGCTTAACATGTTTTTAAATGTATTTGAACTCGTTATTCTGACCGCTTTAGAATAATACCATTTTACAGTTTAATAGTTATCGTTCTAAATTAATTATGATTGTTCTCATGAGAAAAAATGCCTAAAAGAAACCTATTATGATAGACACATGAAAGCTGCCATTTCAGACCTCTTCATGAAAATGCTAGTTGTTTGACTGTCATATTCTCTTAAGTCCAGTTGCACTTTTTTGTTTTAAGTTCCCCACGAAAGCTATATCTGTAAAAGAAGAGAAGTAAGAAGGGTAAACGAACTTGCCTGTCACCTGAACCACCATACTGGGAGACATTAAAGGATAAGTTCACAATCCAGCAACATGTTACATGTTCCACTTGTTTTTAGGGTAGAACATGCAACCTGTTCCTGCTCTTGCAGTGGCTCAGTGGTCCAAGCCTTGTTCCTTGTGTGTGACAGCAGTACCAGCTGTCACTTTTTGACAGCATGAATGAATCCACTACTCTGCAAAGAATGTCAGATTGTGGTTCTCAATGAACTACCACAGTGCTGTTGAGTACTGTGGTAGTTCTCTGGTGCTATCTGTCAGTGTGAAACTGCCTGCCAGTATGATATACGGGCTGACCGCACACACTGACAGTCTGCAGGAGTCCTGCATGTCACCAGTGATCTGATGGTCACTGGTGCAATACTTTCCAGGCTCTTAAAAAAAAAAAAAAAAAAACCACATGCAATAAATGTGCATTTATTTTTTTTAAAGTTGAACTTATCCTTTAAATGATGAGGAAGTCAGCAGGAGGAACCGGTAAGAGCTGTGAGGTGAATGTGTACATTCTGAATAGAATTGTGAACAGGCGGGCTATCTTATTTTATTGCACAAGGGAAATTGCAGTAAAGAGGCTTTCCTGTTTGTTTTTTTTTTTTTTCTTTTTTCTTTTTTTTGAACAGGCTGAGACTACAAGCTGGTAGGTTACTATGCATAGCTGCTCCAGATTCTGTCTGCACCAGGTTTAGTAAATTCTCTCTCCCCCCCCCCCCCCCCCCCCCATTGTTTATATTGTTACATCGGTGAGCACTGGACAACAAAAGAAACTTCATGATTTTAAGTGGATCACAATGCACTGAAATGCAAATACAATATAAAGTACTTTGCTTCCTGCTGTGGAAAGAAATAAAACAAAAATGGACAGCAGAGTAACATATGTAAAAAAAAAAAAAAAAAAATCAATGCAAGCTAAATACAATGCACGTGTTGTCAATTCATTCTTACTGGTATACCTTTCATGTAAAGCACTTTTAGCAGTCTAGCAGTTTTGAAAATAAAATACAGCTTTTGTTGTCAGTTCTCTACCACTTTGAATGACACCCACCATCATTCAACTCCTCTTCTATCTGCATCATAGAACCACACACTTGTGTGGGCTCATAGAACAGTGCTGTAAAATAGACGCTATGACAGCACTGCTTTCTGCATCGTTCAGAAAAAGGCAAAGAGGAAATCGCATGTCAGGTAACCATATCCAGCCAGAAGTCATCTGAAAAAAGCATGTATACACATAATTTTAAACACATATAGGGCCTCCATTTGGGGGCGGAAGGGGGCGTAACTGGAGCTGGACTTTAAATTCAGAGGGTATGTAGATGAAAACCTTTCTTGGATTTTTTTGATCAGCGACTACCATTTTCTAAAGGAGGTCTACAATGGGAGCACCTGTATCACTGTTAAGGCATGTTTGCTTTGAGTATAAATCCGTGCTCTTATTTCCAAGGTACTTCTACATTTTTATTTGCTTTTTTTTTATCTGCTTTCTTCTTACCATTTGCTGCCAGCACCTCCCAAATGCTTCGGACACTCTTTGGGTAGATGTCAGGAAACAGATGGAGCAGGTATTCTAGTAATTTAGAAAAATAGATGCCATCTAAGGAAAAGTCGTAGTCTTGTTTATGATTGTGAGGATTAATTGTGCAAAATGTGTTTTTACTGGCTTAGTTTGTTTGGATTACGTACAGGGCTAATTTTGCAGAATGTAAAAAACATACTGAGTGGAATTTATCAGAACTGAAGCAGCTGTGCATGGCAATCAATCGCTGTCTAATTTAGGCTTGTTCAGTTAAGCTTTTTGAAATAAAAATGGAAGCTGATTGGTTGCCATGGACAGCTGCAGCATTCAGCGCCGCAGACTGGCTGCTCCAATTTTGATCAATTCCCCTCACTTCACAGAATGAATATACAGAAATGGAAGTGTTTCCCACAGCAACCAGTTACACTCTAGTTTTATGTTCTCCTCTGTAGCAGGCAAAAAATGTCTTAAAATTGATTCTGGTGTGCAATGTGTCCACTGTAAAGTTTTAATCTCTCTTCCCTTTCCCAATAATCCTGTCCTGTACATATGAGGCATGTTGCTATGGAAGTTGCCATTTGAATGAAGTACTGAGTGAAAGGAATAGTGGTTTGTTGTTGAGAGGTTATCATGTACTGTATTTCTTTCGTTTGGTTTTAATTATTGATACACACGCAGGGGAGCTCAATCTTTTGAAGAGCGAGGGCCACTTAAACGATTTGGTAACCGATTTTAGGCCACAGTGAGATGAAATCATTCCGCCTTTCAAATTTGTTATTTTTAATAACATATTCAACATTTTCCTCCTGCAGCTGCTGAATGCTGATGGGAGGCAGAGGAGGAGAAACCACCTTTCAGTGGTTGCAGGAGGAAAATGTAGAGGATAGGT